ATGTCTTTTTTGTAATACTGAAAACAGAGGGAGTTTTAGCTACGAGAGAATGCAAAATTCGGATTTGTGATCTCTTTTATTATAAAAGATTTGAGTTTCATAGAACATATTTCAACTAGGCAAAGACTTGCATCCTGGGGCTTACAAATTTCTACCGATTGCTGCCTCTGCTCTAGCTTCGTCGAATCAAGGGACCACCTCATCATCTCGTGCGCTTTCTCTTCCGCCATTTGGAGACTGGTTCTTTCTAGGATTGACCCTATCCATCGTGGGATCATCACTTGGGCTGAGCTCCTCTCCTAGACGCGAATGCAATCTGCAGGTGCCCCAACAATTTTCCGAAAGATTGTCGCCCAAGCAACGGTGTTTCATCTTTGGAAGCAGCGAAACAATTTCCTCCACAATCGACTCAAGCTCACTCATCACACTATTTTCAAGATGATTGACAAAGAGCTCTGTAACTCTATCTCTGCTCGAAGACTAAGGAAGCATTTTGGTAACTTAATGCAACATTGGATTAGATGACTTCACGATGCTGTGATTTCACTTTGTTTTGTCGCCTTGTTTTTTTATTATTTTTTGGCAAGGTTTCAAAAAACAATAATGTTTATTTTTATAATTCCTAAACTATTCATTTCTAATGATATTTACAGTTATATAAAAAAAAAAAACATATATCAAGTGAAGTCATGATCAGTATACAAATTAAAAAATAAGGTCTGATAGATCCGAGACACTTGGGTATTATCACCTAACTTTTAAGGGTATCTATACAAGGTAACCATAGAAGAATCGATAATTAACTGACACATATTCTATACTATTCAGTTTTTACTGTACCCAACAAATTGACCATTAAACCCCTATAGTCGTATTTGTTATTAAGAGAGAGATAGTAAGGAGCAGATGTTGTGTGTGTCAGAATTGAGATATGAGATCTTATCTTCCTCAAGATTTCAGTTTTGAAATTTCGTTGGAAATAAAATGATTTTTTTTTTGAAATAGCAATGAATCATGTGAAACCGATCGAAGAGTTAAGTTGTGTCTAATAGGCTATATATCAATCGCTTTATTTTTCTCTACCAAAAGGCATCATATTTACGATTATACAAAGTTCTCATCTTCTCCGAATATATATCATCTCTCTTATATATTTTTTTTCAGTCGCCGTTTAAGTGTTAGTTCGTCAGAGTAAGTTTCACCACTCCCTCTCTTTTGTTTTCAATCATTTTGCTTTTGTTAAGCTTTAATTGATTTTTTTTCTCGCAGATGGAAGATCTGGATCTTCTTCATCGGCTTATTGCTGCTGATAAACAACCACTTGGGGAGAGGGTTAATGTGTACCATAAGATAAAAACCTTCAAAGACATCACCGACTCGCTAGATGAGGACAAAATTCAGTTAGTCAGAGATTCGTCACTCGGAGATTTGTTAGATTTTTCGAACAAATCCGCTTGGTCCGCCAGTGACCTAATTACGATAAATCTTCCAGTGAACTTCCTAACAAACTGTTCCCTTCAACCATGTCTACACTACTAATTTTGTTACCCTAATATCTTTGTTATCATGCTATCATTGTTACCATGCTATCATTGTTACCTTGTTCTCATTTATAGACATCTATCATTGTTACCCTGTTAACTTTGTTACCAAGCTATAATTGTTACTTTGTTTATTTTGTCTCCTATATTAATTACCCATCCAATAACTTGTTCTATACATAGTATCCACTTAATCCATTAATCTTACCAGGTTCATGTTACATTTAAGATGGTTGGTGTATATGATTTATCAATTTTACATTACTTACCTTATTCGATAACTAATGTATTATGCCAATAATTATATACATTTTCCGTAAACAACTGGTATCGTGCTAACATATTACTATTACAACTTCATTTGGTCCATATGTCATATTATTTTTTCTATTTATAATATTCGGTAACTAATACCGACAATCAATAACTATTTTCTTTTGCGCTAATAACATTCTTACCTTAACATTGTGATTAACAGTATTAACCCAGTTTAGATGCCCCTCTTACTCTATTATAGAATTGTTATTGTATATGTGATTAGTCTCGTGTATTAATAACACCCAGATAACTTGTTAACTTAATCTTTTCATAGTATCATTTTTCACATTGATCTTACCAGCTACTTAATATATTTACTAGGTAACATTTCTGAATGTTGGATAACTATATTATTACCTTCATAGTTGGTTGTTGTATATGATTATATCAATTTTGATGTACTTAATTATTGATTAATAATTAAACATTAACTGGATGGGTAATTGCTTCTATAATTATACATATTTTGGCACTAGATTTCACATTCTATACAACAAAATCCACCTACTACCATCTTCTTCTTTATTTATAATACATCCAGTTGAGCTATTTTTCTTTGCCCATTGCCTTCTATCTGTCGTGTCAACCACCGGAAAACTTGTCTTCTCATTCACTCCACGGTTCGTGAATTGTGAAATCATTTTTATCCCATTGCTCCCAATTATAACATATTTTAGACTACTATGTTAATGCATTTACCGTTATTAGCTCCCTGCACATTGCTCGATTGCGGTCTAGTGAACAGTAACGACTGCAACGCTTCCCAGATGTCTGCTAAGAAATAGAATATCGCCTACATGTTTAGTTACGCTCGCTAACGTTATAATTATCGGACGTTCGAAAAGCAATCTAATATATGTGTAATTATTTTCTTTACGTTAAATCTTTCGTTTCCCCATAATGCTGGCGCAATCTTTCGTTATCTTTGCCACAGAAATATCGCAAGCATTTAATGCTCAGATTTTGTTTCGCTAAACTTTTATTTTGTTAGATATAGAGGTGATAGGGGTGATTTGGTCCTTTTCCAAAACTAAAGAAGAGAGAGAATTAAATATGTAATTATGCATCCCAGATCTTATAATATCTATTCTTCTATGGTTTTATATTTCGTTCACCCAACTTTTAATCATTTGTGCGGTTGTGCCAGTTTTTCGACAAACGAATCGCGAAGTATTTGAGGATAAATACGGCCTTTGCTTATGTTTTTCATCTTTTTTGAGGATGATGAGTTCATTGGTTTGATCTTAAACAATTGAAAATTTATAGGTTGACGACACTAATTTTGAGATTTTTTTTTCTTCTACCATTTATATTTAAGTTTATATATAGACTAGATTTTAACCCGCGGTACACCGCGGGGCTATATTTTCTTAAAAAAATCAAAATGTAATTTGTTTGATAGATTATTTTGATTGTTAATTTTAGGATTTCACCCGTGGTATACTATCTTTTATAAATATCAACCCAAACCCGTCCCATCATATTACCCGTCCCGTGAAATTAAACATCATTTAGTTATTTTTCTTTTTAATAATACTTTTATTTAAAAGCTATATAATTCAAGTCAATTTAAAAATTTCTTTTAAATGGTTCCCATAAGATATATATACATATATATTAAATTTGTATAGAGTTGAAATAATATTAATATTACAAACATTTTATATAATTTAAATATTATAAATATTTTTAAAAATATGCAATATATATTTTTGTTATTGAATAAGAGGATATTATGTGTAAGAAATGTAGAAAATAAGAGTTTAATATTTTTACTATGGAGTCGCAAGAAAAATCTTTTATTTCTATACATGTTATTCGTTTATTAATAATAAAAGAAAACAAATCCTTTAAATTAGATATTAACTAAAATAAACGCACCATAATTACTTATTAAGTAACAACCAATAAATTTCACCAAAAAATAGGTAACAACAATAAATTCTAAACGCAGTAATTAAAGAATGAGATATTAAAAAAAAATATCAAATAAGATATAAGAATCTTAAAATAATTGAATATCTAAATAATTTAATTGTTAGTGTCAATTTTAATGCCTTCATTAATGTGGATTTTTTTTTTACAGAGAAATATTTCCTAAAGATTATCACATTAATGACTCAGAAAATTAAGGAAGATATGAATTTATGATTCTCGAAATCGTGTTGGTAATATCTTTAATTAATATTTTTCAAATTTAAATAATTAATGCCAATGGCATTCATCCGTAAATACATTCCAACTCCAGGATTTATTTGCTAAAAGTCATCCAAAAATGTATATATAGATATTTTTTGTTGGTATAGTAAGTAACTAATCAATATGGAAAGCACACAAAATTTGGGGAATTGAGCCCAAGTAGGAAACATACATAAGGCCGTATATAAAGTTGGCCTGTTGGGTTCAATACATAAGGCCGTCTTTTTGTTCGGCCGCGAACAGTGGTGAACACTGAATATGGCCTTTTGAAACTCCGAGGGGACAATTATAATCCAACACTAATATACATCTAAACTCTATTTGCCAACTAATTTATTAATTTAAAATACATTTCAATCTAATCAAAACAGATAAGCCCGTTAAACACAATTTTGATTTCTAGAGACGACCAAAATTTCAACTAAAGCAAACTGCTAAGTCTTTTATTTAATTTCATAAGAAAAAAATAGATGGATCTATTAGTATCATAACATATAAATCGATATTTAAAAGTGTTTAGAGTAATAATTTGATGTTGGTCTCTAACAATTTGCGGTTAATTTCCTAATATTTTAGACATCATCCAAACATATTAGCTCATTAGTCATTACACACCAATTTTTATAGAGGCAACATATTTTTTCGTTATCATTAAAGTTGACAGCTATTAGAGCCCTTAATCACATTTGATTTCATATATATAATTCCAAATAATATGGATATAACAACAGCATAGCATATAAATTGATATTTATAGCATTAGTTTATGTCTTTGATTGGGAAATTCATTGGCAGGCCATTATACTGGGAAGATACATTCGCATATATAGTTGTTGTACTTGGTAATCGTCTACTTGACATAATTAAAATTACCGGTCAAAACATACGAGATATATAGGAACTTATATTGTGATTTGTGTGGATATACATACACATAAAAACTAATATAGTTTATGTGTATTTATGGATAAGGTTATAACGAATTCAACAAAGTCTCAAGGTCCTATGACATATCAACAAGTATATTACAGGTTTTTTTTTTATGTATGGCTTTTCTTCTCCCATGTTTCGGCTGTCTACGAAGAGACATTTGGCTTTTCATGTTGGGATATTGAAAATACATTTTCAACGTTTGATATAAGATTTTGTGTGGGTGAAATTAATACTTACAGAACAAAAGAGCTAGCTCATGCACGGTTAGTTCTTTTTTGCCGGCTGTTTTAAGGATTTGCATATTCTTTCCCACGTATTGAATTCTATAAATGACATAATAATAATCAAACTTGTAGAAGAATAGATAAAGAAGCGGAGTTGTATATGTGTAAATAATATTAGAGAATGTATAATTCATAGTCTTCCAAAAATTCGATTTCTGTTGTATTCGACTCGTTGACATGTTGTAACTTATGAAGGTTGTTATATAGGATCACTTCACTAAACCTTGGTTGGATATACCCAAATAAATATTATAAAGTTCATACGAGAAAAACTTGGAATCACATCGGCGAATATTCACCACTGGATCCATACTAACTACTACACAACAAGGGAAAAAAAAAATCTCCTTCATATTCTAATTTGGCAATCATATATAAAATATTAATTTGGGAAGGTATATACTTATTATATACACAAAAGCAAGATTCGCTTTGTAATGCGACGGCCCGACTTATCTCTTTCAAATAATGATCCTTGAGAAACAATATAGAGCCATATATATGTTGTCTTTATAAAGAGACATAACCCATATATCTCTTCTTGACTAACTTTATAGTTAAAGTTGTTTATTCAGAAACAAAGCTGGATTTGTAATTTGTCCCTTAAACTACCATGATTAAGAACTTAAGTACTATGAAGAATTACAATCAGAAACGTGAAAGATGTTGCGAGTTCATCGAAGCCCTTGAAGAAGAACGCCGCAAGATCAATGTCTTCCAACGCGAGTTTCCTCTTTGCTTAGAGCTCGTGACACAAGGTACATATATATGCATTTACATTTCATTTAAAATATGATGAGATTTATATATATGTACTATTGTTAGATCTAAAGATTCTTAAAACCTATTTTATGGAATGGGGAATTTAGCGATTGAGGCGTATAAGAGGGAGATATCAGGGACGACGACGAATAACTTATACGGACAATCGGAGTGCTCAGAGCAGACAACCGGAGAATGTGGGCGCATCTTGGATCTGTTCATACCAATCAAACACTCTTCGACCTCCATAGAAGAGGTTGATGACAAAGATCATGATGATGAAGAACACGAATCTCATGAAACCGACATAGATTTTGATGACAAGAACATGAAATCTGAATGGCTTAAGTCTGTTCAGCTCTGGAACCAATCCGACATTGTTGTTTCTAATAGACAGGTAAGCTTTTTTAATTATGGGTTAATTCTTGATATATATTTTTTAATCAATAATGTGTTTGAATTTACAATTTGAAAGTTATTTGATAAATAAATCGACACATATGTTTTTGGAAAAACATAAACATAATACTTTTTTACTTTTAAAAGAAAAGATAAAATATTTGCAAAAGTTCTGACTGCGAAACTTCGTTTTCTTTTGAATCTATTCAATTGTTTTGGACGCAGTTTGTGCGTTTGCGTTTACATGAAAAAAAAAATCATGTTTTTGATATAGAAACAAATTTCAGTTTTGATTTTTTTTTTTTTTGTTAAAGAATTTCAGTTTTGAATTATTAGCTACTATGCATTGATTTTTTTCTCTGTTTACATTTGTGTTTGAATTGCGTTTAATTACATTTACTCTATATTTTTTCCAAACCAGCCTTTAACGTTGTTGATTGTTAACGTGAAGACTAAACGCATAAGCTTCTGTTAATTACTTTATGCGTTTGTGTTTGTAACTTACAAAAATACTTCACAAATAGATTAAATTTTTTTTTTTATCGTGCAAACAAAAAAAAAATTTGTGGGAGTTTATAATTTAAGTTTCTAATAGCATTTGCTTTTTCAGGATTGCTCACAAGAAAAGACAGAGACGCTGGTAGAGTTGATAAATATAAACGATGAAGCAGCGGAGAAAAACAACAACATAGAATCACCGGCGACTACTAGCGGTGGCAGTGGCCGTGGCAGTGGCAGAAGAGGGCAGAGAAAGCATAGGCGGTGTTGGTCGCAAGAGTTACACACACACTTCTTGAGCGCTCTTAAACAACTTGGTGGCCCTCATGGTGCGTTTCTTAGTTTTTACTTAAAACATATCAGTAGTCATATTTTCTTTATTAGGGCTCGTCAAAATTAACTAATTCGTATTGATTTACTAAATTTTGAAGTAGCTACGCCGAAACAGATAAGAGAGCTAATGAAGGTTGATGGGTTAACAAATGATGAAGTCAAAAGTCATTTACAGGTTAGTAAATCATAGTCCATGAAAAATACATATGTAACTAATAATTTGCAGAATTGGTAGAAGTATGTAATCTATGATTTTTGCCAAATTAGGACACTTGCTTCACGTGAATCTTGAAGAGTGCAGTAAAAGTTTGTCGGTATAAACCCCATTTAAAAAACTAATATTGATTTTTTTTTTAAGAATCTATATAGGTAAATAAAAGTACTCTTCATTTCATTTTACAAATGATATAGAAATTTTTGTAAATATTTATTTGTCTTTTCAAATTTTATACCAAAAAATATTTATTTGATATTTTGTGACAATTTATATTCTGCAATATCTTATATTATTGGTTGCATTGTTTTTGATTATATAATATTCTTTTTTTGTCAAATTTTTTATATAATATTATATAACTAAAATGATTATATAATATTCATATGTAAAAGTTTATCAAATATATAGATATATATATATATAGATATATTCTAATATTCATCATTTTAGTTACAAATTTTTGATAAATCAGAAGGAAAAGAAAATTTATTGCTTCATATTGTTTTTTAATGATAAATAGAAATATAGGCTGCATGCAAGACGGCCTAGCCAAACAACACCTAACAACAAAAACTCTCAAACGCAACATTTCGTGGTGGTTGGTGGAATATGGATCCCACAGACTAACCACTCCACGGCCAACGCAGTCAACGCCCTCGCATCGGGTGAGACCACCACCGGGATTTACGGGCCTATGGTCAGTCCGTTACCGTCCGAGTGGCCGAGCCATTCCAATTTTGGTGGGACGATTTTGGATGATAGATCAAGATGCTCTAACAAAGGAATTTTTCGGTGTAGCTCACCAGCTATGTCTTCTTCTACTCGTACAAAGACGAAAGATGCAAAAGTATCATAACTTTTAAATTTTTTTTTTATTATTATTTATTAAGGAAAAAAAGTTATATATAGACATTAATATTGTGGTTTGACAAAAAAAAAATGACATTAATATTGTGATGAAAGAGTGTGTATATATAGATGTTAGAGCGAGCGAGAGACTATAAAATTTTTGTTTTATGATTTTTTTTCTAATAGCCGAGGATGATCAAAAGATCCATATTAACTTTTTGAATCCACAATTAAGCTAATGTATATTTTTGCGCAAAACTATTTGACCACATTTACTCTTCCATGAGTTTAACATCCCTTATATATTAATTGAAAAATATTTTTTAAAAATAACCTTACTTTCTGTGTGATTAACCAAAATGTCATGTTGAGATGTCGTTCTCACAAAGTTTCTCAATCCATTTAATTAAAGACCAACATTTGTTAGGATATTTACATTTTGCCATTAGTTTTACTTAAGTTTATTTTTTCCAATTAATTTATGCTTTTTATTTTATTCAATTAATTAAAACAAAAATATAATTAAAATATACAATTACGAGATACAAATCTATACAAAATGGAGTGTCTAATATTTTTGTATCTATTAATATAACTATATATATATATATAAATAAATCATGATAAACATAAACATTAATACATAAATAAAATTTCACTAACCTTAATAATTATTAATACACCATCGTTTATCTAATATATAATTAATATCACTTATATATTAATTGAGATGCATTTTTAAAAAATAATTTTACCTTTATGTGTGATTAACCAAAATGTCATGCTGACGTGTCGTTCTCACAAAACTTCTCAATCCATTTAATTAAAGATCAACATCGATTAGGATATTTATAGATTTTACCATTAGTTTTACTTAAGTTTATTTTTCCAATTAATTTATGCTTTTTATTTTATTCAATTAATTAAAACAAATATACAGTTAAAATATACAATTAAGAGATACAAATCTATACAAAATTAAGTACCTAATATTTTTTGTATCTATTATTATAACTATATATATATATAAATCATGATAAACATAAATATTAATACATAAATAAAATTTTACTAACCTTGATAATCATTGATACACTACCATTTATCTAATACTCCTTCAACAACATCAATACATGAAAATAGGAGTAATATAAAAATCGAACACCTTCAATATCATCAATACATGAAAATATATTTAATAATTGTTTTGTCCCGCACATAGTGCGGGTTGTTATCTAGCAATAATATTAAAGTGTTTATTATTTAGAGGTGGAGGTCACTAAACCTAACTGTAAATATCATAAATTTTTTTTGGGTTATTCAATATGCATATTTGAATTTGATTAGTGACAAATCGATGATATTAACACAGATTATTAGATAACTATTTTAAGAATCGTATATATAGAGAATCGTAATTATATGTAGAATGATATATTAATATTATCAACATATACTTTTATAGAGGAAGCTGTAGCCACCAAAATTAATAAATGTCACTCACAAACTCAAACTAATTCGTCCTTAACATATGTATGTCGGCCACGGTTCTAGGCTTCTAGCTAATATAGTAATATAAGATACGCAGAAACATTATAGAAAATGTAAATGTCTTCGAAAAAACAAGAAAAAATACATAACTTTTTTAAAATGAAAATAAAATAACTTATGCCATACAGATGGACCGGAACTCGTTAGAATATGCCGGAATCTGAAGATCATAATCTGTAAAATATGTATATATAAAATATGTATGTTTTCAAGGTTAAACTTTATTCTCTTGTTGCTTGTATATTAACAAATGTGCACGTTGGGCTCCTTCTCGTGGAGTGTATATTATTCTTTATTTGCTGCTTTTACTTCTGTAAATACAATTTTTTTCCCCTATAACTGCGTAAATCTTAAACCTAAATATGTTAAAAGACAAGTTTTTTGTGTGACTAAAGTGCAATTTGAAACAAGGCCTAAAGCCACATGAAAACTGCTGACCATTCAAACTCCCAAGACTAGTAGACCAATATCTCTTGACTTATACACATTCTCTTTAACAAAAACAATTGTTGGGTTTTAATTTCTTGTTTGCGCTCACTGTTGTTTATTATATGTTGTTCGTGTAGAACGTCATTTTGCGAGGTTTTCTGAATCAACAATCCAAATGATTTCGATCAATTAATAAGTTGAGATCATTTTCTTACCCTTAAATCAAAATTTCTTGGTTCCTATGGACTATGGTTTCATCACCTCGATATCTAAACATCTAAACAAGTTATTAAATATCTAAACATGTAACGGTCCGCAAATTTAGGGATCCTTTCATGTGCCTCTATGAGCCATGTGAGTATGTGACCTATTTCTACTAGCTTGTCCAAATTATAACAAATGGGACTATGTACAGGTTGTTTAATTTTAATATTTTAACTAATACTTTTATTTGAATAGGAAGACCATCGAGAAACTTGAACATTGAGAAAGGCTATTGGCGTTCCCGATATGGCGGTTTGATTTTTAAAATCTTCAATAGTAATATTTTAAATATTTCTTTGATTCTATTGATGTGTAATATTAATAATTTAATAATTGGACGACAGATCCAAAAGAACAGGAAGATTAGGGTTTCCATATGATATGATTATTAATTAATTGATTGGGATTGGTTAAACTCTTAAAAGCAGGGATCTTATGTGCAGGGATCTTATGTGACCTTTCAGAGTCATTAAAAGCCTAAATAGCTCTTGATACTTACTTTAGGACCATTATGAGATCAAAACATGGGAAAATAAACAAAGGGAATATCTAAGCAACAACAAATACTTTTTCTTGGTCTATACTTCTCATATTAACTAATGTTATATCCATATGGAATATTCGACTAGCTAGACTTCATTACTAATTGTATAATGTTATTAGTTCGTACTAAATTTATCAACATTTGTCCATAAACAATGAAACATATCTCTGATGAACAATAATAAAATATAGTACGTGCTAATCTTGTTTTAATCTTCTCTTATATGAGATTAGGATTGATCAACCAAGTTTGACATGGTGTCTTAGTCTTATAGGATTGAAATATTAAATCAAGCTTTAATAATTTCACGATTCTTTCTTCTATATCCACGATGACGTTTAAGTTGAAATGGAAACAGTTTTATTTCAATATTACATGTTTGATTGCTTTTTATTAATAATTAAAATAATTATAAGTTAAACTACTTAAACAGTCTCAGAGCTATAAAATGTAATAAAGTAACACTGTTAAATATTTATTTACGGAGTAATTTTCAAATAGCGACAGGATGTTTCATTATGTTACGTACAGACTAACAAAACCTATATAATACTCTCTCCATTTTGAATTACATGTCGTTTAAGGTTTTCTCACACGATTAAGAAAATTATTAAATTTAATGTTTTATTTTTTATTAATATATGTTATAATTTTTTCATTGGCCAAAACATTAAAACAATAGGGACAAAACTGTAATTTTCACCAAACATCTGCATTGAAAACCTAAAACGACAACTATTATGAAACAAATTTAAATTTTAAAACGACAACTAAACTAAAACAGATGGAGTATATACTTTATTATTTCTCCAAAAAAATATCAATTTGGAATTCAGGCAAGGATGAAAACATCGTTATTCTAACGTTGAGTGCTGCTCTAACATTTGCACACAATTTTGGGCTAATGAGCCCGAAAAGTTTCCGAAGATGGACCAAGCCCGTTTATTCCCAAAAACTTAATAGTTTTGACGATTCTAAATTTTGATTCTAATGAATGAAAATAGTAAATGACCAGAAATAAAACGATCAACTAGATAATCTACAATGTTAAAAAAGTATTTCATGATTTGCGGACAATTTTGGACGATAAAACGTTGATGGTTGATTGGTTGGAGGTAAAATTTGGTTAGAGGTGAACAGGCCCGGCTCGGCGGCTCTAGGGTAGTGGTAGTGCCATGGGTGCCAAGGCACAGGGTTCTCATATTTTTCTTAATTTTTAGTGTTTTAATTTGTAGATTTTTTTTTTGTTTAGAAAAAAACTAGAGAAGACGGCGAGCAAAATAATAGGTTTAAAAGAAGAATATAGTAAACACATGTCAAGTGAGGTTATTTTTTTTTAGATTTAAAGATTTAAAAAGGATCATTTTCGTTTGTAGCACATGATCCAATAAAATATTGAGCCGGGCCTGGAGGTGAACAGTATAATAACATTTCTCACATGATAATTTTAAGTTCATCTCATATATATATATATATATATATATATATATATATATATATATATATATATATATATATATATTTGTGTTAATTCCATCAGCTATTTGATCAAAGATATTATCTTTTATTTGGTATCGTAAGTCTAACATATTCTGTATTTCAGAAAAAATATTCAATTGCCATAATTTTATTTTATTTTTATTAAAAAAATTGTTTACACATATAACAAATTAACTTCATTGAAAAAAATAATGTATATTAATTTGAAGTCATAACTATTTACATGTAAAAATAATTATACATAGATCATAACTATTTTATAACTATCAATGTAAATGAAAAAAAAATATTTTCTAGACCTGCATTCTTTACATTAATTTATTCATAATTGACAATGAGATTCAAACTATGTTTTAAATAACGAGGTGAAGGATCGAGGTCGAGGCACGATCGATATAGATTCAGCTCGTCTTTCACCTCTACAATTTCATGCCAACATCTTGCTCAAATGAGTATTCCATGGAGAGTGATTGATAACCTTCGAAAGAAAAAGAAACACACAAAATTATTTAGGCACATGAAAAGCATTTGATACAACTAAAGAGTAACTATACCAGTGCACTATCTTCATTAACCGTACTAGTTTAGCTTGATAACTAGTTCTTAATTTCCTCTTTTCGTTTTAGCCTCTGTTGAGTTTTTGATATCTTATAAGATGTTGTTAAGTTAATATATTTATCGTCACTAAATAGATATTAACTATTTCGTTCGTGTAAATATTTATGCTTATTTTATTCGAAATAAAATTATGCTTTAATAACCAAATATTACTTTAACGTATATATCAGCTTCTTACAAAAAATGACCAAAAGCTTACGTTGAGTGTTCTTTTTTTTTAATAAGTTTTCTTAGAAAGATTTTCTAACACCAAGGTTTGATGTAAGTTCTTTTATATTCTGATAAGTTTTTATATTTCTTATTCATAACGATTTTTCTTTTGTATTACTAGTTACCAACTTAGTAACTTACTACTATACAAAGTCTCTTTATTGTATATATGAGCATGAAAGATTAGTCATTAGATTTTATTATTTAAAGTGAAATGAGCCCTAAATAAACTAGTGATGGTAAGTTAACCAATAATACGAAGGTATGAAACATCAGCACAAACCCGAGTTCAAGTTTTACGTATTGCAGACGTTAAAGATAATAGAGTGAAAGACAAATTATTTCATGTTACAAAATAGAGAAAATAAATTAGTTAAGAAAAATAGGTCAAATTTTCTGTTGGTAAAAATAACCTAAACCCAAAATAAGGATATAAGAATTATTTGTTGAAATTTTTTTACTGATACTAATCAATACATACGAGATATATATTTTATTCCAGCAAAAGAGAAAGTTAAACTTTAAAAAAAGAAAAAAAAAAGAAGAGAAATGTTAAACGTTAACATAATTAAACTAAAAAAATAGTAATCGAGTAATTAAAGGGTAATATTTACCAATCTAATATGATCGATTCTTTCCACACTTGTTTTTGTCTCGCTCTCTTTCTCGGAATATGAATGAAAGGCATCATATTTTTTTTCTTATCAAAAGAAATCTTTTTTTTTTTATCAAAAGAAATCTTTGGAAGAACTTATATAAAAAATGATCAAGTAGACTCTACTTAAATAGACAAAGTAAAGCTTACATACATGTGTGTATATGTATATACGTGTTTGGTAGGAAATTACAATTGGGGTAAAACTAAGGTAGTATATAAAAGCCTTTTATTTGTTTTGGTGGTTGGGATATATATGCTCTAACCTCCAACATTTTTTTAATACTAAATTGCCAATATACCTTAGGGCATACACATTGGTGCACTTTTTACAAGAGTGTGACTAATATTAAAACGAAAAATATTGAAAAAGTTGGAGAAGATATGCAAGTGGGATGTAGGATAACACCCGAGTGTTGGTATTATAAAAAAAAAAAAAAATTTCTTTTGTCTATCTCTCTCTTTTTTCTTCTGATGCTTCCACTACAGTTTAATAATTAAAAAATGTTTAACAAGTAATCTCATGAGTGTAGCGCTGTGTATGCTCTTATACAGTTATACTCATTGTATTGTCAGGTTATGTCTAATCACAATCATATATAACATAGTATGATCTCATGCTATATAAATTCACAATTGCTATGTACATAAATCAACTTTGCTTTGATGATTTATATCAGTGTTGAAATGTTGTTCGTTTGTAGGTTTATTCCTAAGAATTTTTATTTATTTTTTAATTCGTCAAACAAAATATCACATGTATTAAACAATAGAATGTACGTATATATATGTAACTTTTGATCCAGTTTGATATTTTCATTTATAAAAAATCTTTTTAAGTTTGGGCTTGTGGTTTTAAGTTTGGTTATTACATGTTCTTGGGTTTTTGTATCTTTTGAGTCATGAAAATATTTCACCCAAAATAAAACTTTTGAATTATATATGGATATATACATGCGCGCGCACACACACATATGTATATATATAAACAAATTTCATGCATACGTATCAAGTTTAGACTAGTCGAAAAATTAATAACGCCACCCAATTCATAAAATTCGATATAAAGACCCCCACAATCCCATAGTATATGCTTAATTCGTCTTGTGTGATACTTTGACGGGTTATTATGTAAAACGTGCATGTGATGATCAGTGCTTACTTAGCAGTCTTGAGAGTCTACACGTGTGTATGTGCGCGTATGCATGCAGGCAGCATATATATACACGTGTATGTAGATGTGAAATGCATGCACACATATAATATATATGTATTAAGTATAACCATAACGATACTGTTTCTTAAGTTTGGTGACGTACGTAAGTTTGGTTCTACTACATATCAAATGGGTTGTTCACACCAAACCAAAACCTAACTCGAATGGAGTTATCAATACATGGTTTAAATTCAAAAATAAATTTGTAATTATTGTTTGTGATTTCGAATGTTGTAATAATTAACTAGTAATTATACGGCCAAATAATAATATAAGAAGTCATCATTTAAATAAGGATCCGCATATCGTGAAAATCAATCACATGTATCAATTATCAAACAATAAAACGAATTCACGCCGGAACATCTACCTGATTTAGTTTTGATTTGATTTAAAAACTAAACCGAACCAAACATATTAAAAATTGAATTAAACTGACCAAAAACCAAAACCTTATCCCTAATTTCAAGACCCATTTATGATTTATCTATATCTACACGTCCATTATCATAGTGAGCAACATGCTTGTGTTAAGTAGCTTTTGAAACTCCATATTGTTCCATTTTACCAATACGTTATGAAATGAACAAGACGAAATATGGGTTCCACTTACACGTACAAAAAAAGAGTTGTAGAAGCATCATAACTATGACAACACCCCTTCAAAGTTCAAAGTTTTGAATTATTAAATTGATCAAGTTTCACGTGGAGTGGTGGATATACTCACCATTTAATATCTCAACTCTTTCTATATATATATAAAGAATTTAAATGCAATTTAAAATAGACTGCATCATGGAGCTTTTTTGCTTGATTGGTGGTTGTTGGGGATCTCAACGCAATCACTTCGCTATCAGATGCTTCCATTCCAAATGTCACGCATTACTCTCCAGCCATGGAAATATCTTTCACTTGTGCTTTTTGAATACTGATTTATTTAATTTTGGACTATTTAAGGTCCCACTTGATCAAATAGAAAACCTAATTGCGGCACTCATTTATTCACTAAACAGTGGATATCAAATCGTAAATAACTTAGTTCATTTATCAAATATATTTTTAAATAACTCTCAAATGACATTACACTATTTATTTAAATTACACGAAATATGTATCATTTATTTACGGTTTTGTCGCCTTTTTTATACCAATTTTTTTTTTTTGGTTATTTAGCTAATATACATAATATTTTATGTTACCAAAGTGCATGTTGTTGCAACTTAATCAAACCGAATTAATTGCACAATTAGTTTTGGAGTTTCAATATTCCTACTCCTAAACAAATGTCTTGAAGAGTTGGAGAAGATTTGTGCTATTCCTATAGAATGAAATTCCCCCGTCCTATGCGCATGGAGCTAAAAATGCCTTACGATCGATTCTAATCAATTGCTTTAAAAAATAATGTGGATATCTTTGCATGAAAAGCTTAATCCATTGGAATTTTTTTTTGGGGTTAAAGTTGATTCGACTCTTGTTTTCGGAGAAAGTTCGCTTTGTTTTACCATAAATTATCAAGAATTTGGTGCGAACTCTATTTTTCAAGGTTTTAAACTACGAAAACATAGGTAGCTGGATCAATTTTGGTATTCAGTTGACTGCTCCTAACAGAAGAGACATATTATTGGATCCCTACTATCACTTTCTCAGCCATATATCTCTCAGACGATCATAGCCAAACTCGCTTCAACTCCACGCATTAGCATTCTCTCATACAGTGGAATTTACTTTATTAAATGAATACAATGTGCTAAGACAATTTAATTACTAATTTTGATTTCTCGCATGACTGTTACAGCCAATAATATAAAAATATTTAGATGCAATCAAATTTTTTTTGCTATAAATAATTACAATTTTGAGTTTCTATTTGTATCCAATTATGAGTTTTTGACTTTATCTTGATTTGAAAATAATAGAGTGTTACCATTTACGTCGACCATGTTTATCATTTTTTTTTTTACCTCAATAGTGTATCTTTTTGAAGAAATTTTGTAAAGGGTGGGAATCTATGTTAGTGATATAATTTAATTTAACCCTAATTCATACTATATAACAAACAAATTTTTTTGGCCGGTGGAGCAAAAACAAAATAAACAACTCTGTTTGATTGCAACTACCAATGAAAGTTCTAACCAAAAAGGGTATGTAAAATGATTTTTTTTTATCTTGGGAATAAATCTAACAAATATTAAAAAATTTGAATGTTGATGGCAACGGATCCATCCACGCGGCAATGAGCATGGCCTTTCGAAAGTTAGGTTCTTTTTTTTTTTCTTCTGAAAATTAGTTTTAAATATAGTAAAAATACTATAACATTTCATAATATATAATTATATAACATAGACGACTTTTTTCTTTTCAAAATGTTGATAGGTAGGTTTTATCAATTTACGACTAGTGTGGTATACCGGTGCTAAACGTAATTTGTAATTTTAAATGAAATGAATACTAAGGTGTTACATAATTTATTAACAGATAATACCAATCTTAAAAAAAAAAAAATTAGTTGATTGTGGAAAGAGAGGACTCCAGTGTGATCATCTGTGTTAAGAATATGTTTATGTGCCCTCTCATATTTGATCACGTTATTGGAAAATAATCCAATGTGAAATGCTGTAAAGAAATAAAACGAATTCCGATAAATTTGTTTGGTTATATCATATGAACTAGATAACAACCCGCACTATGTACGGGATGAAGTAATTTAAGTAAAATTATTATGATTAAAATTATTATCTGAGATCCAAGATCCGTTTGTGTAAAACGAAACATGTAATAATTTTTTTTAATTCAAATTTGGCACTATTTTGTATAAGAATACGTTTTACCCGTGAAATATTCGAACCTGAAATAAAGCTTCAATGTGATAAAAAAAAGTATTGACGAAATATTACCATTTATGACAATATGCCTTTTTGTATGTTTACAAGATGTCAAAAATGATGAAAAAAAAAGAATATCGAGATTTAAGTATAAGAAATCCAAAAATTTATCAAAGATGAGATTTGATAGTTTCCAAGTTAAGATTTTGTAGTATTCCAAATTAAGATTCTTAGATTATGAATAGATTACTACGAAATGGTTATAATGTGACCAGATTTTGGTTTATATATAAATGTGGTTAGTTTTTCTTCGAAAAGTTAGAATCCCTCCAAAAAAATCGGATTTGAAGTATTCCTAACATATATAAAAAAAAGATTATCTTATTTATTTAAGTACAGTAGATATAAAAATTTATGAAAGATGTAGAGATTTTCTAGTTTTGAATTCGAGATTCTTGAACCAAATTTATATATTTTATCATTTAAATATAAATATAAATACAAAGATTATGTACCCATCGGCTATGTTGCATGGAAACGGAAACGGAAACGTGGAAACGAAACGTTTCGGAAACGGGAAACGAGTTTTTTCTAAAGTTAAAGAATGGAAACGTTTTGGAAACGTATATATATATATATATATATATATATATATATATATATATATATATATAACCAAACATAAAAGAATTTAAAAGAAAAATATGTTTTAAACAACACAAATCCAAAACATAAACTATTAAATAGTTTAACTAAAATTCTAAAAAATTAAGATTAAAAGGCTCGAATTCAAATATTTAGACCAATATTTTCATTCTCATTTTCATTAGTTCCATCAAAGATTATATAAAACTGTTTCTAACTCTGGTTCGTCGAGAAAAAGATCTTAAAACTCGAATCTCCCAAAATTATTTATATGTACTAGATTTTAACCCGCGGTACACCGCGGGGCTATATTTTCTTAAAAAAATCAAAATATAATTTGTTTGATAGATTATTTTGATTGTTAATTTTAGGATTTCA